AAACTCTAAAGATCTCATTGACTTTCTGTGGGTTAATATTTGAATATTAATTATTATATCAAAACGTAATAAAAATTAAAAAAAAATTGCAAAAATACTTTCATTAGTGTCTTATAATACTAATAGAAGGACATTTGTACAAAAATATATATATATATAAAATATATTTTTAATGTTAAGTATAATGACGCCAAATGTAAATGTGATTCTTAGAGACTGACGGAGAGAATATATAATATAAATATTATTTTATCGAAAATAAAATTCTATATAATACGAATAAATAAATAAATAAAATATTTATTTATAATTAACATAAAATAAATTTATAAATATATGAAATTTTTTTAATATATATAAATATATTCTTTTCGTCCAATTCTAAATTTCATATTTTTATTTTCTGTTTGTTCAATTCAAATATATACATCTTTCCTATTTACTAATCATCAATGATACCACAAATTACAATAATCCTACTTTTATACTCCATAAATCCCAAAAGTATAGTCTTATTGTGTTGGATACGGAATTTAAAGAATATTGATATTATTAGTTGGTAAAAAATAATAATAAATGATTTTTTTTGCCCTTGTGAGTATATTAGTATAAAAAATAGTGGCAATTGTGTAATAATAATAAAGTATGAATAGTTTTATGGTGATATGATTATTTATGGACATGAGACTATTATTTTGAGACGGACAAAAATGGTAAACAAGACTAGACCTGTCAAAACGAGTTAGTGGGGCGGATTGACCGACAACCCACCCTAACCCGCAAATACGCGGGTTATTTGCGGACCAACCCGCGGCGGGGCGGATCAAAATTTCAACAGCTCAACCCAACCCACCGACCGGTGGCGAGCTAAGCGGGCTAGCCCACGGATTTTTTAAAAATATTAAAAGAATATTAAAATTATAAATAAATTTGTAATTAATATTTAAAAATAGTTAAAAATAGTTTTATTGTAGAATTTAAATAATAAAAATTTTAAAATAAATAACAAATATAAATATTCTCAATTCTAAATATTATTAATTGGTGTACTTAAAAAAATTAATAATAAAAAATACTTCATTTTAAAATAAATCATAATTAATTTTATGAATTTGTAAAATTATAAAATAATAAAATGGAAGACGAATAAAACAAATGATGAAAAATCAAAACAAATAACAATGTCATGAATAACATAGTTAGAGAAAAAAATAACGTGTAGACACTATTGATAATTTATTTAAGCTAATGATAATATAAATTTTATTTTGTTCGTCTTAACTTATTTATAATGGTATGTTTGTAATTTATAAAAAATTAAAATATATTCTTATATTAATATTTGATTAGTTTTATTATATTTTTTTAATATGGAAGTAAAAAATGGTAAAAAAATATATTTAGTTAGACGAGTGAATACTAATTATTATATTTACTTGACCTGCGGGCTAACTCATCCTCAACCCGCGGCCCATGTGGGTTGGTCCATTTAGGCCCGCATTTTAACGGACTTAAAAAATTACAACCCAACCCTCCTTAAAAGAAGGTGGGGCAGGCCAACCCGACAGACTCAACTCATTTTGATGACTTTAAACAATACTATTATATTAATACGGATGGAGTATTTATTTATAGTTACAATTATGTCATCATTTGGCATTACTTTTTAATAAAACTAATTTTGTCATTACTAATTTGCTTATTAAAAAAATAAAAATGATAAAAAATTTAAAATACAGTGTCAATCAAATTTAGAATAGTAACCAAACACAAATGTTTCTGTATAAATTTCTTTTCTTATCTTTTAATCTGAAAATACTTAAAAATTTGTGCAACTTTCTTTAATTTAGGATGGGGGAGAGGATAATGGGTTTGCTGGTTTTGGTTCCAAAAAATCGGATTAGATTTGAATTTTCACTTTTAACAGTAGTTTGATATACTTTTTATATTTCAACTTAATTTATTATTTTGATAAATTATATAATTCTTATTGGGTTTCAGTAAAAATGTTCAAAATGTGTTTTATTTATTACGTAAAATTCTTTTATGTTAATGTAAAATTTGCACGAAGCATCTTCCTTATTCAAAACTGATATTTGATTCTAAATAAAAAATTAAATTACGTAAATTTGATACCAATAAAAAATACAAAATATCTTAAATAATTTTTTTGAATAAATAAATAAATAAATAATTGATTAATCCTTTATTTTATAGTTTTGAAATAAATTGTTATATAATTTTTATAAAAATTATAAAAATAAATGATTGATCAATTATTTATTTATTTATTTTATTCAAAAAAATTATTTAAAATATTTTATGTTTTTATTTGTATAAAACTTGAGTAATTTAAATATTTATTTAGAACCAAATATCGGGTTTGGATAAAGAGAGTATTTTGTGCAAGAGGTTACAAACAATAAATACAACACATGGGGGGTGTTTGGCAAAAAGCTAATTTAGGTGTTTGGTAAATTAGCTTTTTGGAATAGCTTTTTGGACCTAAAAAGCTAATTTCTGAAAAGCTAACTTACCCCGCGTTTTGAAATAGTTTTTTCTGTAAAAAATTTTTTATTCCTTATATGTAACACCCCCAGTTGGCTCATACTGGAAATGCTACCACCACACTGCGTCATGAGGTCGTCATCATCTACTTTGGGCCCCACAATACAGTGTTAAGGCTAAAATTAACAATAAAAACGCATTATTATATAACAGAATCTGATTCATAAATATTTACAAAACACACCCCTTAACAAGAGGTTTTTCCGGTTAAAAAATTACATATAATACAATAGACGTAAGTTCACTCACTCAGCCCGTCTTTCTATATCCCGAGACGTCCCCTGTCTCGGATGTGTCATGCATACCTGAAACAAATATTTTCTTAAAAACAGTCTAGAATTAAATCCATTTTAAGAACTAACGTGAAATATGTCATTTCATACCTTTTTAAAATAAAGTCTAATTCCCGTTAATCATAAAATACGTGTCATGTCATGCCAATAGTGAAATGATGCAATACAGATATCAGACTCGACAACAATGCACATCCACATATATACATATATACATCCGCCGAAGTGAGCAGCCGGAATACCCTCGGCTCCATAATCATAGGCTCACTACATTTGTCTAAGAGAGCAGCCGGAATACCTTCGGCCCCATAATAACAAGCTCACTAGACCATCATCAATAAATAGCCGGAAAATCCTCGGCTCAGGGAAGGCCCATAAAAATATAACAGTCATCCGATCACTCCCATATACCCACCATACGACTCCCACAATCACTACATGGATAGCCGAAAGTTGTCGCCATTAACCACAAGACGCCCCATAGTCTGTGATAGCGAAGATAGGACCTCCACTGACTAGCCCTATCCCATGTAATGTAGTAGAATCCGTGCAACCTGGAATCACCCAAGGGAAACCCGGAAACTCTACTCCTACTCGTGCGCCCTAACGGGATCACGTTTGGAGTTTGGCATATGATCCTAAACTACCGGTAGACCTCACTAGTAGCTACTCCAATGAGTGGAACAACACCGAACACGAATGATTAGACCGAATACGTCTCAACTACAATGGGTCTAATCCATGAATGACCGTGCGACTAAGTCACCCAGTTGTCTGACTACTATCGTCCACTATCGCCAAAGTGTTACGGTACATCGTGGTCGAATATCCTAACCCCAGATGATGCCCTCGTCTTGCACTACCGCACACAACGACTAGACGATAGATGCATAAAATATATCCGATAAATCGTGCAATATGTGTGCAACATGCCAAATAAGTGAATTTACCGAAAAGGGCTGGTGAGACAGCTCACCTATCCTCATTTTCATAAATTCACCAACGCGATCAAATACGTATATCAAATACCATAAACCGTGAAGTCTCCCACATGCATATGCACACACATATATATAAATATATACATGCACTGAAAAAATGATTCACATAATATCACATTAGCATATTAATCAGAATCGCATGCAACATGCATACCTAATTTTCTTAAAATTAGATTTAATTCCTTACTGCTTACCTCTTATCGACATTCCCTAGCTTTCGCAATTTCACCCAAATCTCTTCCAACGTACACCTGCCCCATTATTTACTCAAATCAGCTGAGCTATATGCTTATTTATAGAAGTTACCTGCTTATTCAAAAGCTAATTTCTATAATTAGCTCGTTGGGTTTCAAACTTTTATATTTAGTAGAATACGATATTCTAGCTATAAAACTCTTATAACTCATAATATTTATATCGTCCGATTATTAAATAAAAATACTTAAAGATATGAATAAACAGGCAGGTGCAGTACACTTCCGTTTCGACTCGGATCGATACGAAATTCTCAGAGTATAATGGTAGGACTACGAATAGGCTATTAGCTAAAGAAATTCGTCGATTAAATAGCCAAATAGCCAGTTATGAATTTTTGAAGAATTTCTAATTTAATATTCTCAATATCGAAATTCATATTAAAATCCATAATTAAATTCTACGTATAACAAGGAATACAATAACGAAGTCGGAATCAAAATCGAACGGCTAAATCTTTTTTTTTTTCTTTTCTCTTCTCCTTTCTCCCTGCGGAGGTCTACTTCTATTCCTTCGAGCATGGGTTTACTTATTTGTTTTATATATACATATATATAATTATATTATTATATATTATTATTATTATTATTATTATTATTGTATCTTCTTCATCATCATCTTCAATATTATTATATATATTATATTTTATATTTATCCTTATCGATATTTATTCGTTTAACAGTTTTTTTAATCATAATTAATATATAAAATAGGAATAAAATTTATTCCAAAATATTAATTTCTTGATCCCAAAATATTATAAAAAATATTTATTTGCTATAATATTATTATTTCATACACTCCAAAATCAGGGCATTACAATTCACTCCCCTTTAAAAAATTTCGTCCCCGAAATCTAAACTCAAACGCATAACAACACTACTTAATTAAACAAATGTGGGTATGCTTTGAACATCTCTTGTTCTACTTCCCACGTGGCCTCTTCTGCTCCATACTGGAACCACATTACCTTCATCATACGAATATCTCGGTTCCTCGTAGTTTGAACCTTTGTGTCCATGATCCAAATAGGCATTTCCTCATACAAAAGATCCTCATTTAACTCTAACTCATCCGGAGATAAAATATGAGAAGGATCTGCGACATACCTACGAAGCTGTGATACATGGAACACATTATGAATTCGTTCCATGGAATTAGAAAGTACTAACTGATAAGCCCAATTCCCAACTCGATCGAGGATTTCATAGGGTCCAACAAAGCGCGGACTTAATTTTCCTTTAATTCCAAACCTTCTAATACCTTTCATAGATACTTTTACCAGGACGAAATCTCCACTTTGAAATTGACCTTCACGTCGGGCTTTATCGGTATAACTTTTTTGGCGATCTTGAGCTATCTTCATCTTCTCCCTGATAACTCGAATCTTATTTTTTGATTCTTCGATCATTTCTGGACCTAATATCAGTCGATCACTCATGTCATCCCAACTTAAAGGAGTCCTGCATCTTCGTCCATAAAGAGCTTCAAAAGGAGCCATTACAATACTTGTTTGATAACTATTATTATATGAGAATTCCACTAAATCCAAGTGGTCCTCCCAACTTCCTTGAAATTTTATTGCATAAGCTCTTAGCATATCTTCCAGAATACGGATAGTTCGCGCTGATTGACCATCATTCATTAGATGGAATGCAGTACTCATATGCAACTGAGTACCAAAGGCTTCTTTCAATTTTTGCCAAAATCGAGATTGAAAACATGGATCACGATCCGATATGATTACCTCAGGAATACCGTGTCGTTTAACCACATTATGAACATATAATTTGGCCAACTTCTGCATGCTCCAAGTCATACGTACTGGGATGAACACTGCTGACTTAGTCAATCTATCTATAATCACCCAAATTGCATATGTTCCCGACTTCGCCCTTGGAAGTCCTGTCACAAAATCCATTGCAATAGAATCCCATTTCCAGAGCAGAACTTCTAAAGGTTGTAACAACCCCATTGGTCTATGATATTCTGCTTTCACCTTTTGGCAGTTTAAACATTGTGCAACAAATTTGGCTACATCCTTCTTCATGTCCTTCCACAAAAAATGTTGACGTAAGTCTTGATACATTTTAATCCCTCCTGGATGCACTGAATATGGTGTATTATGAGCCTCACTCATAATTTTCTCCTTCAAATCGCTTCGGTCCCTTGGGATACACCACCTCCCATAGAATTGAAGACTCTCATCCGAAGGAATATTAAAGTTTTGAGTCTGACCGCACTGAACTTTTATAGCCAACTCGACCATCTTATTATCTTCCATTTGAGCCGCTCTAATATGATCATAAATTTCAGGCTCAACTTGCATCATTTGCAAATATCCCCGCGTCATGCCCCGTCCAAGTACTTCAATTTCCATCCGTGCTAAATCTTGACACAGTTCATCGGCAACTGACACAGAGCCCAACTTATGCCTTGGTTTTCGACTCAAGGCATCAGCTACAACATTTGCTTTGCCTTCATGATATACAATTTCGAGATCATAATCCTTCACCAATTCTAACCATCTTCTTTGTCTTAAATTTAATTCTCTTTGGGTGAAGATATATTTCAGACTCTGATGGTCAATAAACATTTTACAATGGGCACCATAAAGATAGTGCCTCCAAATCTTCAAAGCAAACACAACTGCTGCCATCTCCAAGTCATGTGTAGGATAATTCTCTTCATGAGGTTTTAGTTGTCGTGACACATAAGCAATAACTCTTTGATTCTGCATTAAGACGCATCCCAATCCCCTTTTCGAAGCATCACTATAAACTTCAAAATCCTCACCCTCTACTGGTAAAGCCAAGACTGGTGCTGAAGTTAATCGATGTTTCAATTCTATGAAAGAGGACTCACACTCACGATCCCAATTAATCATTGTGTTCTTCTTCAGCAAATTAGTTAATGGCTTCGCAACCTTCAAAAAATCAAGAACGAATCTTCGGTAATATCCTGCCAAACCCAAAAAGCTTCTTATTTCTGATAGATTGGTAGGTCTTGGCCAATCCGAGATTGTCTCAAATTTAGAAGGATCTACTGAGATACCCTTACCAGAAACTACATGCCCCAAGAAAGCAACCTTTTTCAACCAAAACTCACATTTGGATAACTTGGCATATAACTTCCTCGCACGCAATGTATTTAGTGTCACACGCAAATGTTTTGCATATGTCTTTTTATCTGGAGAATATACCAAGATATCATCGATAAATATCACCACAAACTGATCGAGGTATGGTTGAAAAATTTGATTCATTAGTTCCATAAACACAGCCGGGGCGTTGATCAAGCCAAAGGACATAACCATAAATTCATAATGACCGTATCTAGTGCAAAAAGCTGTCTTAGGAATATCATGCTCTGCAACCCTTAGTTGATAATATCTAGAACTCAAGTCAATCTTGGAGAATACACTTGCACCTCTCAGTTGATCAAATAGATTATCAATTCTCGGAAGATGATATTTGTTCTTTACCGTTACTTTATTAAGCCCACGGTAGTCAATGCACAACCTCAAGCTTCCATTTTTTTTTTCACAAATAAAACTGGAGCTCCCCAAGGCGACGTACTAGGACGAATGTAACCTATATCCAGTAATTCCTGTACTTACAATTTAAGTTCAGCGAGTTCTAACGGTGCCATGCGATATGGAGCTCTCGATACTGGCTCGGCGCCTGACACAATATCAATAGTAAAATCTACCTCACGAGCTTATGGCATACCAGGAATATCATCAGGAAATACATCAGGAAAATCTCGAATCACAGGAATATTTTTCAATCGCTGCACTCCTTGCTTCAAATCTCTTACCTCACACAGATACACTGGATACCCCTTTCGAATAAGTGCTTGAAATGATAGGGATGAAATTACCTTTATAGAAGGTTGTCTTGCAGATCCTGCATAGTTCACTTGTTCACCCATCGCTCCAACCAACAAAATTGATCTTTTTCGACAATCAAATTGAGCTTGATATGCCATTAACCAATCCATCCCCAATATCACATCGAACTTGGATAACTTCATACTCAACAAGTTAGTAGCAAAATCAACTCCCCCAATACTAACCGGAATTTGCATATAGAGTTCTCGGCACTCCAGTATTTCTCCTGATGGAAGTAAAATTTCCACTACCACTTCTACCGATGAATTCAGACCCAATCTTTTAACCAAATGTTTAGATATGAACGAGAACGTTGCACCCGAATCAAATAACACAAGAGCTGACAAATCGCAAACAAGAAATCTACCCGTTAGAACCTCACCTGGGTGATGATCAGCCTCTGTTTGGGTAACAACATTTATTCTGCCACGCTGGTCAGGTCCTCTGCCTGGCTGCCTAGATGACAGACGTGACTGATTTCGACCACCTTGCCATGATGGTCCTAATCCTCTCCCCTGTGACTGTGAAGATGGCTGCTGCCATGGCCTAAATCTCAGTTCTGGAAACTCCCTTGCAGTTACCACACTTGCGCATAGCCTGGCAATATGACCACTACCACCACACTTAAAACATGTTAATGGAACTTTATCACAACGGGTACCTGAATGACTTGTTCCACAACGTCGACAAAAAACCCCCGATTTTTGAAACCTCTCTTGACTCGGTTCTTTAATTGAAATCCCCTTATATGATGGCCCATACCTGAATACTTGCCACCATTTATTTTTACCCTTTGGTTCTTCCTTCACCTTAGCTTTTCCTTTATCTCAAAACTGATGTTGATACCCCATTTCCTTCTCACTGTCTTTCTGCCTGACTTCCCGCTTCTGATAGAATCGAGAAGCACGCTCGTAAGCCTCATACAACGAACTGATATCCAACACAACTAAAGCTTCTTGAATCCTCTGCTGCAACCCATCTACAAAATGATCAACTCTATCTCGCTCACAGGAAAAGTAGTCAAGGAACATATTCTCTAGCTCATTGAACTTTACAAAATAGTCCTCGACTGACATCGAACCCTGCTTCAAGTCCAACAGCTCTTGCTTCTTTGCTTTTCGAACATGAGACGGTATACACCTAGCTTTTAATTTTGCTTTGAACTCATTCCAAGTCATATCCACTTGGTCCACTCCCGCAGCTTCCTCACCTAACCACCACCGATTTGCTCGACCTTCCAAAAAATAAGCCCCGATATTGGCTCGTTGATCTGGTGGAACCTGAACAACACGAAATATTTTTTCCATCTTCTCAACCCAGAACTTTAGAACTCTAGGCTCTACGGAACCAGAATATGTTGGCAGGTTATGCCGCATCACAACATCAATAAAACTCCTCTGTTGAGGCATCATTGCAGCCATAAACTGGCGGAAGAAATCCTGACTAGGTGCCTGTATTGGTACATGCTCTAGCACAGGATATTGTGACTCATCAGACGAAGGATCTAGCTCTGGGCCTCGAATAGCACTATGTAAACTATCACCTCAAGAATTCGATGTACTGCCCCCAAGGGAAACCCGGAAACTCTACTCCTCCTCGCGCGCCCTAACGGGATCACGTTTGGAGTTTGGCATATGATCCTAAACTACCGGTAGACCTCACTAATAGCTACTCCAATGAGTGGAATAACACCGAACACGAATGATTAGACCGAATACGTCTCAACTACAATAGGTCTAATCCCTGAATGACCGTGCGACTAAGTCACCCAGTTGTCCGACTACTATCGTCCACTATCGCCAAAGTGTTACGGTACATCGGTGTCGAATATCCTAACCCCAAATGATGCCCTCGCCTAGCACTACCGCACACAACGACTAGACGATAGATCCATAAAACATATCCGATAAATCATGCAATATGTGTGCAATATGCCAAATAAGTGAATTTATCGAAAAGGGCTGGTGAGACAGCTCACCTATCCTCCTTTTCATAAATTCACCAACGCGATCAAATACGTATATCAAATACCATAAACCGTGAAGTCTCCCACATGCATACACACACATATATATATAAATATATACATGCACTGACAAAATGATTCACATAATATCACATTAGCATATTAATCAGAATCGCATGCAACATGCGTACCTAATTTTCTTAAAATTAGATTTAATTCCTTACTGTTTACCTCTTATCGACACCCTCTAACTTTCAAAATTTCACCCAAATCTCTTCCAACGTACACCTGCCCCATTATTTACTCAAATCAGCTGAGCTATATGCTTATTTATAGGAGCTACCTGCTTATTCAAAAGCTAATTTCTATAATTAACTCGTTGGGTTTCAAACTTTAATATTTATTAGAATACGATATTCTATCTATAAAACTCTTATACCTCATAATATTTATATCGTCCGATTATTAAATAAAAATACTTAAAGATATGAATAAACAGACAGGTGCAGTACACTGCCGTTTTTAATTCGGCTCGGATCGATACAAAATTCTCAGAATATAATGGTAAGACTACGAATAGGCTATTAGCTAAAGAAATTTGTCGATTAAATAGCCAAATAGCCAGTTATGAATTTTTGAAGAATTTCTAATTTAATATTCCCAATATCGAAATTCATATTAAAATCCATAATTAAATTATACGTATAACAAGGAATACAATACCGAAGTCGAAATCGAAATCGGACGACTAAATCTTTTTCTTTCTTCTTTTCTCTTCTCCTTTCTCCCTTCTCTTTCTCCTTGCGTTTGCTTCTATTCCTTCGAATATGGGTTTGCTTGTTTGTTATATATATATATATATATATAATTATATCATTATTATTATTATTATTATTATTATTATTATTATATCTTCTTCTTCATCATCTTCAATATTATTATTATATTATTATATATATTATATTTTATATTTATCTTTATCGATATTTTATCTGTTTGACAGTCTTTGTTATCATAATTAATATATAAAATAAAAATAAAATTTATTCTAAAATATTAATTTCTTAATCGCAAAATATTATAAAAAAAAATATTTATTTGCTATAATATTATTATTTTATACACTCCAAAATCAGGACATTACATTATATGTCCTTGAAAATTTATTATGTATTTTACACAAATAAATATATTTTAATTATTTATTAATTATATTAGAATATTTTATTATAGTTTACTTTTTATAAATTTAAAATAATTAATTTTTATATAAAAATTATTTTAATTGTAAAATATATAAATTTATTAAAATCAATATAAAATAGAAAATATAAATATTAATAATTTATTTTTATATTAAAATTACATTATATAAAATTTATACTAAAAATAAATTAAATAAATTAAATTTATTAAAAATTATAAATATAATGAACTAATCGATAACTAACATAATAAATATATACACGAAAAATTTATTATTTTATATTTTACATCATTTTCAATAGAAAAAACTATTTATATATTTTAATAAAAATATATTATATTTTAAAAATAACTGTAATAAAAATAAATACTTTTATAACACTTTTATAATTTTCAATAACTAATAACAAAATATTTTAAACATTGTAAACTAAAAAAAACATAATTGAATATATTATAAACAAAAATAAAATAGAAATGTCCTCAATTGTCATTTTACGTATAAACAGCTAATATCAAACAGTTGTTTTACCAAACATTTTAATACAAACAGCTAATCGAATCAGCTAGTCAAACCAACTAATTGAATTAGCTAACAGCTATCAGCTAATTGAATCAGCTAACAGCTATCAACTAATTGTCAAACACGTCTATGGTGTTTTGTACATTTTTACTAAAATACAAGAGGATATTATATAATTCACCCTTATTATTTTTACTATTTTATGTGTCTCATTCAAAAGTGTTATTTATCTTTTTTATTTTAATAAAAGTAATCATATATTAATACAAAAATATCTTTAATTTTTACCTAAATTACAAATATATCATTACATATATAATTAATTTTATACATTAAGTAAATGACAAAAATATCAAAATATCTTACATATTTTTACTCACTAATAAAATATTATTATTTTTTAATCTACTACAAAATTCCAAATAACCCTTGTGAGACGGATGGAGTAATATTTTTTTTAAAAAATAATTTATTTTTATTAAAATCATACCGACTGTACAGTTGTAATTTTGATTTCTTATATGAACCATCCACACCCGGTATATTACTTCATTTCTACTTAAATAAAAAATATTCCTACATTATGCATAATATTATAAATGCCATAAAAAAAATAATAAATAACAACAAATAAGTTTAGAGTTAAAATAAAGATTTGTTTATCCTTCTATTACAGTAGTACTATTTATGTATAGAATATTAGTAATATTCTAAAATTTATTTGAAAGAACAAACAAATAAATAAATAATAGAGAGATGGGGCATTATTTTAGAAATAATAATAATAATAATAATAATAATAATATTTCATTCGTTTCAAATATAATATCAAGATTACTGTATACATATAAATTGAAAACGAGTGTAATTAGTAAATAATTAAAAATATTGATAAAATTAATTAAAAAAATATATTAGTAAAATCAATTACAAGATAATATAAATAATGGTCGACTAAGATTTAGATGATTAATTATTCTAATTAAAATTATAAAAAATAAAAAATATAAAAGTATACAATCTCTTTTGAAAAAGAAAATTGATATGAAATATAGGACGGACAAAGATAAAAAATATGACATTATATGTAAGATGGAGAAGTAATAAATAGCTAGTCTTTGATGTAAATGGGTATTAGATGTGTGTAAGCATGGAAAAAAATACCGAAAATATCGTATTTTTGAGATGTCGTAAATTTTTGTACGATACGATACTATACTATTGATTTTCGGTACGATAACAGTATAAATTGACAGGGAATTGACAATAGACAAATAGAAATGTTTTAAATCTTTTTTGTACTCTATTTTCATTTATCTTTCGTATTAAAAAAAATATTGAGAGAAATGATATTGAACTATATATAAATATTTTAAATCTTTTTGTACTATTTACTTTTTTATAAATTTTTAAATTATATTATTTCAATTTTACAAAAATCACATTTAGTTTATTATTCAAGCGTTTAATTTTTACGATTTTTTAAAAAATTGTACTAAAATATAATCTTGCAAAACATCATTTATAATTTATATTTTTTTTAAAAAAAAGTCATCAAAAATATTATTTCATAAATTCTTACTCGTTAAAACTCTTTTTTATCCGATTAATCAATTTGGATAGCTGGATTTTATTTTATTTTTTACATTTCTCAACTCTATTTTACTAAATAAGGAAATTAATTTTCATTCAGGTCAATTCATTTTCTTTTCAATTCTATTCTCTATTTTCATTTCTCTGCAATTTTATTCTTTATACCAAAAGCCCTAATTTAGATCTAGTAACTATTATTAGTCCTTGATCTTTAATTTTTTTTTTTTTTTTCACTATACAGACTGTTTAAATAGGAGTTTGTTCATTTTGTATTTTTAGGCTATATAATTTTTATAAATATTTTAAAAAATATATAATATATACACATATATATTAATATAATATATATTTTTTGAATTTATAATAAGTTAATAATTTAATACAAAATAGTTTTATTTTATATTATTGACATAATTTCTTATATTTTGTTAGATATAGGTATTTCTTTAATATTATTTTGTTAGATTTAGATATTTTCTTGATATTATTTTGTTAGTTTAGGCCTGAGTTCACTATAAATTCTTACTTTTGAGAAATACAATTTCATTATTTTCTCTCCAAATTTCTAACATGGTATTAGAGCCCGATTTTTCAAATACGAAACCTTAGCCACCGCCATAGCTGTTCTCCGTTCTCCGTCGATTTCCGGTCGACACCGCCACCACCATCTACTGTTTTCCGGCCGTCACCTCCTGTCTTTGTTCCCTGTGTCATGGTGTGGTTGGTTTTGTCATCGGAGTTGATTTTATTTTTGTGTTGTTGCTAGCATGGCTTCCTCAGTCCAGAATCTTGTGACTCTTTTGCACCAAGTTCTTGCTTCCAATTCCCCTTCTGGTATGAAAAATTCGTGGTATTTTGATTCTAGTTGCTGCCATTATGACACCTCCACTTGGCCTCTAGATTGATGTGCATCTTGTGTCTTCTTTATTGCCTATACATACTGCTAATGAGAGTCGCATGGATATCACTCATTCAGGATCTGTATCTCTACCATTTATATCTTTTCGTGATACTTACAACATTATTCAATTGACTTTAAATCTTGTATCAGTTGGCCAATTAGTTGAGCAAGGACTTACTGTTACATTTTTTTCTTCTTGTGTGCAGGTTCAGGATCCACGTATGGGTCAAATTCTTGGGACAAATCGAAAAATGGGTCAACTATTTGAGGTACAATCTTTGAAAATTCCTCCAAGTAATGTCTCTGTTGCTATTACTCATACCCCTTTTAATACATTTCCTTCCCCTAGTCTTCAATGGCACTTTCATCTTGGTCATGCGTCTTACTCTAAAATTCAGTCTCTCGTGAATAAGGGTCATTTGGATCCTATTCGTTTTGAGTAATTTGATTGCTTACACTGTTATTTGGGAAAACAACCAGCCTTATATTTTTCAAAAAATATGTCGGTCGCAAGTAAACCGTTTTCCTTGGTTCATTTTGATATTTGGGGTCCTTCCCGTGTTCCCTCTATGAGTGGGTGTCATTATTATGTTATTTTCATGGATGATTACTCTCATTTTATATGGATATATTTTTTTGAAACATCGTTCAGAATTACCTCAAACATACATTCAATTTGCTCAAATGGTTCGAACTCAAATTTTTTTGTCCCATACAGACCCTCCGTACTGATAATGCCCTTGAGTATATAGATTCTACTTATTAAGTTTTCTCTCTGCTCAAGGTACATTGATTCAACATTTTTGTCCATTAACCTCTCAACATAATGGTCGCGTTGAGCGCAAAAATCGTCACATTCTAGATACTATTCGTGCATCTGTTTTGTCTGCCTCTTGTCATGATAGGGTCTGGGAGGAAGCCGCCCTCACTGTTGTCTATACCATAAATCGTATTCCATCATCTGTCCTCCATAAAAACACCTATTTGAGCGTCTATATGGTCAGCCACCCGATTATAGTACCCTTTGTCCCTTCGGTTGTGTCGATTTTGTCGTTATCCCTCCGCATGAACGTTCCAAATTGGAACCTCGTGCGCGTGTATGTTGTCTTCTTGGTTATGGGTCAGAGCATAAAAGTTATAGGCTTTGGGATCCTGTTTCTAAACGATTGCGTATATCTCGTCTTGGTACATTTTGGGAGAGTATCATGTTTTCCACCATGTCTAAATTTCATGTCTCATCTATTCCTGGTTCACCTTCCTTCTTGTCCGCATGTCCTCCCTTGTTTCCTAATCTTGATGCTATGGCTCCATCACCGCCTCCGGATCCTGTTTCAGTTGAAGCTTCTAATCCACCTCCAGTTGAGGCTTCTGATCCACCACCGACCTTGTCTCCAGATGTTGATCCGTCTGCGGTCGCTGGACCTGTCATACCTCATCGATCACATAGAGTGAGTCAACCTCGCGTGATAATCATTGTTACTATGCCATATTATTTCCTCATGAGCCTAGGTCATTTTGTGAGGCGAGTGTTGATCCATTATGGAAGCAACCTATGACTGAGGAATTGAAGGCTATGGCAAAGACTCACACTTGAAATTTAGTGGATTTGCCCACTGGAAAGACATCTATTGGGTAAAAGTGAATTTTCAAAATCAAGACTAATTTTATGGTGGCTCCATTGAGCGCTACAAAGTTCGTCTGATGGCCAAAAATTATTCCCAGGAGTATGGAGTTGACTATAAGGAGACTTTTGCTCATGTCGCTTACGTCGCGCTTTATATGGATTGAAGCAGGCTCCTCGGGCTTGGTATGCCATATTTAGTGTTGCACTATTGGAGTTTAATTTTACCACATGTGCTTACGACTCTGGTCTATTTCTTCGTCGTTCTTCAACTGAGATAGTTATACTCTTACTTTATGTTGATGATATGATTATCACATGAGATGATGTGTCTGGTATTTCTGATCTACATACATATCTTAGCCAACAGTTTCAGATGAAGAGCTTGGGTCCCCTTCGTTACTTCTTGGAGCTTGAAGTCTCTGATTCTCTTGATGATTTCTTTCTGTCCCGGGCTAAGTATGCCTCTGATCTTCTTGCTCGAACTGGTCTCATAAAACTGTCAGGTAGCCTCCACACCAATTGCCTACGGTGTTCGACTTATCCCTCATGATGGCTTTTTTCTTGATGATCCTATCCTCTACCATTAGCTTGTTGGAAGCTTGATATATTTGACTGTCACTCGACCATATATCGCTCATGCAGTCCATATTGTGAGTCAGTTCATGGTCGCTCCGAGGACCTTTCACCACTCTGCCGTCTTACATATTCTTCTTTATGTAAAAGGTACTCTTCTGCATGGTTTACACTTCTCCCTCTCACTCATCCTTGACTCTCAGCGATTACTCTAATGCTGATTGGGCTGATGATCCCACAAATCGTCGTTCGACCACTGGTTTCTACTTCTTTCTGGGTAATTCTCTCATTTCTTGGCGCAGCAAGAAGTAGACTTTAGTTTCCCGCTCAAGTGTCAAGTCATAGTATCATGCTCTTGTTGAGTCTACTTCAGAACTCTTATGGCTTCGACGACTACCCACTGATCTTGGTGCCCCTTAGCCATCTTCTACGACTCTTCACTACGATAGCCAGAGTGCTGTGAAGATGACCCATAATGATACCTTCCACGAGCGCACTAAGCATATTGAGCTTGACTGTCACTTCATTCGATAACATGTTGTAAATGGGGGAGTTCATCTCGTTCCGGTATCCTCTGCAGATCAAATAACATATATCTTTACCAAGTCTCTTCTTCTAAGCCGCTTTCGATTACTCTTGGACAAACTCAACTTGGTCTCTACTACCCCATCTTGAGTTTGAGGGGGGATGCTAGACATAGATATTTCTTTGATATTTTTTGGTTAGATTTAGATATTTTTTTTATATTATTTTGTTAGTTTAGGCCTGAGTCCACTACTATATATATCTTGTAAACTCTTAATTTTGAGAAATATAATTTCATTATTATTCTCCAAAATTTCTAATATATTTAATATAAAAAATACATTTTCCCACAAACTCAAATTGAACGCACTTTAATTTGTATTTGAATTTGAGTCCTTTGATTGAATTTTAATGTAGATAGTATTTTAATATAATATTCATTTCGACAAAGTGAAAGCTATCCTTTGATTTTTGGATATATTAATATTTGTGTATGAATCCCATGCTAATTCGGTTATATCATGGTGTTGATTTGACCGAACAGCATATATTATATATATAAATATCATATATTATACATATTTATAGCACACCGTAGCATATGCTATGTTATAACACAATATATAATATCCTATCGCCGCATATGATGGACAATATATAAATATATATTGTTATCTTTATGACATGTGTTGATCCGGTCAAATCAGCATGAAATATGCGCCAATATGTTATAAATATGTAGTTTAATAGAGAAATGCAAAATCTATTTTACCCTTGATTAATGAGATTAAAAGAAATGGTATGAAAAATAGAGATATTTTGGTGTTTAATTTCAAACAGAAAATATCTCATTTTTTATTTATTGTGTGAAATCTACTCATGTTAAATTAAACTATGTGCAAAACACCTTTTTCGTCTGAAATTTGATATTTAGTTGTAAATATAAACTTAATTATGTAACTTTTATAAAAGTAAAAGAGGTAAAATATCTTAAATAGACTTATTTGAATAACATAAATAAATGAATAAATAAATAATCCTTTATTTTATATATATTTTAAAAATTAAATAACAATATGTCTTAAAAAAATCATTAAACGAATAATTGATAAATTATTTATTTTATTTAAAATTATTTTAAGATATTTTTCTCATTTTAATTTGATAAAATTTGCATAATTAGATGTGTTTTTATAACTGAATAGAAATTTTGAATAAAACGAATGTTGTATGTTTTTGTTTCATTTAATAAATAAAATATAAGCTATTTTGAATATATTTAATTAAAAGGAAAGTACGTTATATTATATGATTTACCCTATTTAAATTAAAATACTAAACTAAAATAAATTTACATTTACGAATATACATATGTATAATGTAATGGGTTTGTTCACCTTTAATTTTTTTTAATAATGTATTTCTTTTTATATCAAACATTAGAAATTGTATTAATAATATAAAAAAAGTAAGAATACTATGTTGAATATTTCAAATCAATATGGCTGAATTTAATCAAAATTATTGATTACTAAATTATTTATTTAACTAAAAAATTAAATTTAAAATTAAAGATGGAGATTAAATTCAGCATATACTGATGTCATTTGCAAATTTGAATAAATATTATTTTATTTTGAATCATTGAATTTTGTAAATAAATAAAATATAATATATATATTGTATTAATATATTCATATTATATTTTAAAATAACACTTGTGTAGAAAATTGTGCCACTTAAAAATTATTGACTGAATAATCAATTATTCTCCCTATCCACTGTTAATACATATTTATTTTAGCATTTAAAGTTATCTACAATTAATATACTCCTCCGTCTTATAACTAAATATTCATTTACTTTTTACACAGTTTTTATTTATATTAGTATTATATTGACATATAGTATGAATAAAATAGAAAAAACTAAAATAATCCTATTAGTATTGTATGATATAAATGTAATGACATTTGTGTAATATATTGTAAATTGTAGGAGTATTTTTAATGTTAGCTAGATATTATAGATACTAAAAAGGAAAATTGATATTTTGTTATGAGACAAACTAAAATAAAAAAAAATAGATAA